TAAGGAATGAGAGAGCAGGCTGTGACTCTATGCAGGGTAGGGTATTCTAGGCCTAGGAAACAAGTGCAGAGGCCCTGAGTTGGGATTGAGGTGACCATTATGGCTGAGCAGAGTGAACTAGGGGGAAGATTGTATGAGTTAGGGAGATTGGAGGGCCAGAACACACTGGCCATATAGGATAAAGTAAGGTCTTTGCTTTTGACTTGCAGAGAGATGGGAAATGATTGGAAGTTGTAGAGCAGAGGAATGTCATGATCTCAGCCATGTTTCAACAGAATTGTGGTGGGTGCAGTGTTGTAAATAGATTGTGGGGAGGGTGAGGGCTGAAGTAGAATGGTGTCACATAGGATAATCGAAGAAAAATGTAATGGTAGCTTGGAACGGGTTGATAAAAGAAGGTATGGTGTGAATTCTGGATATGCCATAGGTAGACAAGATTTATGAAACCCCATGGTAATTTTTCCATGTATTGAAATCCCATTTAATGTGATCATTTTTAAGTTAGAGATTATAGCTACAAGTGATAATACTTAAATTGTGTTTAAGAACTGATTTTTATATATTTATTTCTATAGTGTATGCAGTTTCTCTAAGATCATAGTGTTATTACTATGAAGTCTTTCACGACATCTCTAGTGTTTTTAAAAATGTATCTTTGTTCTGTGTTAAATTTATAATCTTCCAGTTTATACTCAGTGTACTTTTCATTTTGATCAAATTAAAGAAGAAAGGACATTTTAATATACTATACTCTTATATTTTAATTAGCTGTGGTTCTTGAGAACATAGAAACTGAAGTTACAATTCTAAAAGAATCCTCTTTTTCTTGATTTTCTTCTACTGAAATGAGCATGGAAATAATTTGTAGTGTTGAAGGAGCCAAGCAAGATTGATTTCATTTTATTTCATTACTTATGCATTATATTCTTATTATCATTTTGATAATTCAGGAATGTTGCCTGAACTTTTATTTTATCACATCACATGTTATACTAGAAAAGTTTTTAGGCAGCTCATGAAACTTAAAAGACAGCTTTAAGAATGTGTTCCACTCTGTAGCTTGTGTCATTCTGGTTACCACACAGATGTGTAGAATAGTTCTCATTTTGGCCCTTGTCAGTCATGCTATAATACATAAAAAATTTGTGGGTGACCAGAATGAGGTGTGGTATCACATACTTTTCCATTCTGTGCTTTAAAAAAAAAATTTTTTTTTTTTTTGAGTCAGAGTCTCACTGTATCGCCCTGGGTAGAGTGCTATGGTGTCACAGCTCACCGCAACCTCAAACTCTTAGGCTTAAGCGATTCTCTTGCCTCACCCTCCCAAGTAGTTGGGACTACAGGTGCCTGCCATAATACCTGGCTATTTTTTGTTGCAGTTTGGCCGGGGCTGGATTGAACCCACCACCCCCAGTGTATGTGGCCAGCGCCTTAACCACCGAGCTATGGGTGCCAAGTTCCATGCTTTACATTTTTAAATATTTCATATAGAAATTGTAGAAAAGCATGTAGAAGTCATATGACCTAGAAATACCTGATATTTTAATACTTAGCTTTTTTAGTTTACACGTGGCATAGATATTTATGGTGTATATGTTATGTGTATATATAGAAAAATTATCACAGTATACAAACTTTAATAAACTTTGTTTCATTTAACATTTTACTGTGAACTTTCTCTTAATTAAATTCAACAATTTTTTTCAAGCATATGAATAAATTTGTTCTGAGATATGTCATACTTTGCAGTTCTAAACCTGTGGGTCACCACCCGTTTTTAACAATGAAAATACATTACAGCATTAGGAAGGTTGAGAACCATTGACTGAGATTATTTATGTTAGTTCTAGCGTTTTCTATTGAAAACTGTATATGGTGAACATTGTGGCTTAGTGTTTATTATCATATTTGTATTTATTTGAGGATATTTCTATCTATTGCTGTATAAATGTACATATCATTGATATGAAATAATAGGAAGTTAGAAATTGAAGGGATGCAGTTTCTTTTTTTGTAGTTAAAAGAAATTGAAAAAATATAGAGTTAGATTGTGTGCCACATACTAGTGGTAGAACAAATGGCAAGTAAGAGATTGGGCTGAAATATACTTAGTGTAATGCCTGGCACAGAATAATAGGTAACTCTGATTGAACACTTAGTGAGCACCAGACCTTTGTTGTAAGCACTTTATACTTAAAGATTAATTATTTTTGATCTTTATCACTATCGCATAAGGTAAGTGCTATTATCAACTCCATTATATTGACAAGAAAACAGAAGGATTGAAAGGTTTTTTGCTGAGAGCTACACAGCTAATGACAAACCAGGAGTCAAACTGTTTGAGTCTGTCTTCAGAGTCCCCACTTCCCTACACAGCCACAATGAACGCTAGCTCAGTGTTTGAGTATTCATGAAGTACTAGGCGGCATCATGTTCCTGCTGCACAGTTGTATAATCCAGAGGTTGTCTTGGTTCTAGAATTTCTTTGGGTCTTGGCAAGGTAGCTTAATGCATACACTCTATTTTATTATGTCACACCCCATGCAGATTTGGAGCCTCAACCTATACGGAAATACATTTGTGTTTCTGCAGTGAAACATATTTGTTTTTATTTTGTTTTTATACTGAGATATAAAAAGAAGATTATTAAAAGCCTGATGTCAGTACATGTTGCCACATGAGTTATGGAAACTTTTTGTCTTTTAGAATTGGAGATAAGAGACTTACATAAAACTGCATAGGACCTGGATAAAATTTTTAACATGGTTCCTGGCATTTACAACACACTGAATGTGTTATTGGTACTACCACTACTATTACTCATAGTTATCATCAGATACTTTTATATATTCATATATAGAGAAAATTGGTGAGTCATAAGTACTAGGAGTACTTCTATCACATTATGGCCCAGGTGAGGGGGTATGTAAGCTTTGGAGTCTTCAGTCGTGTTTCTCTAAGTCAGAGTAACACAGACTGTCAGTGATAGATTTGTGTGTCTTCCCTTGTTCTAATGTAGGCTTGTCTAGCTTAGTGCATTCCCAGTTGTGCACAAATTTGATTTCAGAGTCTACAGAATAGCTCGGGTTGTGTTTTCTTCCTTTCGGAGATCTTAGTAAAATCCAGTGTTTTGAGTTTTTCCTTGTTCTTTGTTTTAGCTGCCTTACTTTAAATAAGTATGAGCCTATTGGAAGAACAGTTTGACCCATCATTTCCCCATATGTGACCAGATATAATTAAAGACTAAAGTGGTTGCATTTGAAATTGAGATAATTTCCTCTTCTCACCATTTTAATTGATGACGAATTGTAATCATAGTCATAATTATATTTAAGATAATTACAAAGAAATGTTCCGGATAATATATTTATTTTAATTATATGGTCATATTACTTTTATTGCAGTATGATACAAAATTTTTTCTTTTATTTGAGATAGGATCTCACTCTGTCTCCCAGACTGGAGTGCAGTCTCCCAGACTGGCATGATCATAGCTCACTGCACACTTCCAACTCTTGGGCTCAAGTGATCCTCCTGCCTCAGCCTCCTGAGTAGCATCCACTACTGCGTATGGCTAATTTTTAAAGTTATTTTTTGTAGATACAGAGGCTCTCTATATGTTGTCCGGGCTGATCTTGAACTTGTATCTTTAAGTAGTCCTTGCTCCTTTGGCTCCCAGAGTGCTGGGATTATAAGCCTGAGCCAGTGCCACCTATTCCCAAATATAAATTTATTCAATGACTTTGATTCACATTTGCTATTGAGATTATTATTTTTTTATTTTGGCACTTGAGTTTAAACCTATTCTCTATTCTTAGAAATATCCCTTTGAACTGTTTGAAGATCTGCTATGTATACTTGTCTTCTCATTCTGTGTATGACGGTACTATTTGGCTTCTTTGCCCCTCAGGAAGTAGAAACATCCTCACTGAAGCTCTTTCTTTCTCTTTTGTAGACTAGCCTCAGGCCTATAGCAAATCCCAATGAGCTGGAAGAGCCCTTACTAGATTATGTAGTCAAATGGAAGCAGAGAGATAGAAGTAGAAATGTAATTAGTTTGTAAAGGGTGAGAATGGGGCCTTACATAGTACTTATTTGTATTTGACAGTTTTGATTCATAAGTGAAATATAAAATACAGAAATGTATGTTCCTTTTCTGTTGGAAGGGATGTGTAAAGTCTTCAATTTTTGTAAAACTGTTAGTTTTTTTTTTTTGGGAGACAGTCTTACTATGTCACCCTGGCGTTACAGCTCACAGCAACCTCCAACTTAAGCGATTCTCTTGCCTCAGCCTCCCAAGTAGGTGGGACTGCAGATGCCCACCACAATGTCCGGCTGTTTTTTGTTGCAGTTGTCATTGTCATTTAGTTGGCCTGGGTTGGGTTTGAACCTGCCACCCTTAGTGTATGTGGCTGGTGCCCTAACCACTGTGCTACTGGCGCCAAGCCAAATCTGTTAGTCTTAATGGCTTTCTAGGTATGTGTACATGTATACGTAGGGGTGTGTGTGAATAGGGCTTGTGGTATAGTGTATAAGAAAGAGTATGTGGTATGAAAAATATGGTTATTTTCAGTTTATTTCATATCGTCTGCCACAGAACATATTTGTTTTGGCACTTGGCATTCCCTGTATCGTTGTGTTGGAATTTGGGGTGCATTATTTAGTAAGCTGTGGTTCACTCATATTAAACGTTTTGGTCAATTTCTTAATTATGGTAGATACTGAGTTTAAATTCCAGAAGAGAAAACTTGGAAAGGAGGATACGTTGTATAATTTCCAACTGATACAGTGTTTAGAAATACATTTACTGGTTTGGCACATGTTCACTAATACAACTTTTTCACCTGACAACATTATTTAATTTAGGATCTTAGAATTTAAAGTGCATTGAAATAATTGATAATTGGTATTTTTTTACAGAGAGGAAAAAGGAAACTGGATGACTGAAAAAGGTATTATTTGTTATGTTTCAAAAGTGATACTACTTTTATCTTTTCTAGGTTGCTGTAGTAAAACTAAAAAATGCAGATAAGGTGTTTGCCATGAAAATATTGAATAAGTGGGAAATGCTGAAAAGAGCTGAGGTAAGAGTCTTCTGTATTAGAGTATTAAAATATCTTAGTAATATTTTTAGGGAACTGTAAGATTACATAGAGCCGGTATATCCTTAAATATCATTTAATAACATTTTTATCTATGGTGACTTTTTGAAGGCATAGAAAACAAGTTTAATACATAATTATACATCATAAAAGTTATTTGTGATGTTAATTTAATATTGGCTGAAAATAAAATGGAAACCCTTGTAATGTGGGCTTATGTAGCTGTGTTAAACACTATATATAGCATACTGTATGATGATATTTTTATTGTTTGTGGAATATGAAATAGCCATTAAAAAATTAGGTAGATTTCTATGTATTGATATGGAAATATGCTCAAATATATACATATTATTACTTGAAAAAATGTAACTTGCAGAGCACTGTGATCTCATTGTGTAAAGAACAGAAAAGATAGAAGTGGGATACCACATGAATATATAATATGTGTGTGTATGCTTATATATATATATACAAAAAAAAATTTTTGAGAGGATGCTAAACAAAGAGTTAATGGTGGTAACCTCTGAACACAGCATCTCGATGATGAAACCCGGGTCATAACTCAGACTCTTTCTACTTCAGTTCTCTTTGAAGTTTCTGGCATAGTGGCATTCTTTTTCTTTTTTTTATCTTTAAAAAATTAAAGATAATATAGAATTATAATGTATCCTATAAAATTATTTTTATCATACATTTCTAAGATTCTCCAGGAAATGTATTTTGAGAATAAATTAAAACTTTTAAAAAACAAACTTAAAAAAAAGCAATCAATTGGAGAAAATAAACCAAGAAAAATGAGTAATACAAAGTTCAGGTATTCAGCAAGTGTATATAAAGCTATTCCTCTGCACCTGTGATTAAGAATGTATAAAACAAAGAATAGATATTGTTTTATACCAATCATATAGACAACCACTTATAAGTCTAATAATGTCACATGAAGTTGCAGATGTGGGGGAAGTAGTTTTCATACACTGGGCTAGAGGTGGTAATTGGTATCATACTTAGGAAAGAAAATTAGATATCTTTGGTAAAGTTGAAATATCCTTATATCTAGGATTTCTACTTCTGAGTGGATATAGTAGAGAAACTCTTGTACATTTTATAGATATATTTGTTACAACATTGTAATAACAGAAAATTGGAAATATTCTATACTTCATAATTAGGGGGTTGCATAAGTAAATTTTGGTGCATTCAAACAATGGAATTCATAGCAAAAACAGAAAAAGGAAAACGGTCATTGCTTAGTGAAGAGTAATCAAGTTGCAAAAGGATACATAAAATTCTATCACTCATGTAAATTTTCAAAACAAAATGGTTCTATTGTTTTTGGACATACACATGAGTGATCAAAGCATATGATTGGTAGACTATATACTACTTTAGATTATTGATTCCCTTTGGGATAGGTAAGGATGTTTGGGATGAAAGGGATAGGAATAGGAAGGCTACAACTTGTATCTTATTGCCCTAAAGATAAAAAGATCCAAAGTTAATATGTCAAAATGTTGACATTATATTGTCTGGATGTTAAATTGTTTCATGATTGTTGCCTAAATTATTCTGTGCATTTTTCTCATTGTTTGAACTAGAATGTTATTTTAAAATACAAATTTTTTTAATGTACTGTTATAGTAGTCCAGTTTGTGAGGATGCTTTGAAACTTGTTGAAAAGTCTTATAATAATTGGATATATTCCTTTTCTAGAACAGAATTAATATAGTAAACATATTGAGCAACTGTTTATGTATTTACTAGTTTTACATAAGATGTTCTCTAAATTTTTTTTTCCTTTTCAGACAGCGTGTTTTCGTGAAGAAAGGGATGTATTAGTGAATGGAGACAATAAGTGGATTACAACTTTGCATTATGCTTTCCAGGATGACAATAATTTAGTAAGAATTATTTTTATGTTTCTGTTTCCTTATTAATTTTTTGTCAGAAGAATTAGCATTATTTTCATTTAAACATTGTTTAAAGGTAGATTTGATTTAGAAAATCACTGCATTTCACAGAGTATAAGTTGCATACTTGCTATGTGATTTTTTTCTTTTTTGTATAAGTTGATACCTTTCCATTGGAATTTTTTATGCTTTTTAATGAACAAGTCAAAACAAGTCCAAAAAGATTTAATTCCTATTAGTTAAATTCTATAGAAGGGGCTCAACATTTTTTAAAATAACTTTTCCGAATAGTATTGTAGTATTCTGTTGTTTTTTAGAATTTTGTATAACTAGAGCCACATTAAGAACCTAGCCTACATCTGATTTTATATTGATATCATATATCACTTAACAAAAGTTGGGAAAGAACTTGGAGGAAAGTCAAAATATTAGAAGCATGAAGAGATAAACAAGTGAATAGGAAAATAAGAGTGTACAACTCCTTGGCCTGCTATTCAAAGCTCTTCATTTTTTGACCATGGTTCTTTAGATGTCTTATAACGACCAGTGATGCTCATCATACCCAGTTCTTGTTAATTAACTACATAAGTAATTAGCCACAGAAGTATTTGACACAGTCCTGTTTGATCTTAGGGATATATTATACACGTATTGATTTTTCACTCTTATTGTTTAATGAATACGTTTTATTTTTTCATTCACAGTATCTAGTTATGGATTATTATGTTGGTGGGGATTTGCTTACTCTACTCAGCAAATTTGAAGATAGATTGCCTGAAGATATGGCTCGATTTTACTTGGCTGAGATGGTTATAGCAATTGACTCAGTTCATCAACTACATTATGTACACAGGTGAGTAAGACAGTAATTCATTGCACCTGCCTGAGTTAGTATGTGATATCCACAAACAGAAGTCTGCTTCTAAATCTATTAATCTTAAATACATTTTTCATTAACCAGATTACTTTTGAGATGTTTTGCTTTGTTATTTTCATTGTCGGTATTACAGAAGTGATGTCCTTAATACCTATATGTACATGTGTAATATGTAAAAGTTCCCACTTGCTGTCAGCATTTTTATAGAATACTTAAAAAAATCACTCTTATTTAACATTACATATGATTTCCATCTCAAAAGGAGTTTGTATTGGCCAGTTTCCTTAAGTTGAGTCTTGTATATTGGCATTAGCTGAATTAATCATCCAGGTCCATTTGCTCAGTAAATATGTATTTTATGTTTATTATGTATTTTATGTTTCTCAAGAAAATACTTTCAAGGATTGCATAAATGTAAAAAGATATTTTTATAGGAAAGTAAAAATTTGATATTCATGGAATAATTTCTTCATTGTAAACTATTTATAATTTATGTTTAATAAAAAATTTAAAAATATATTGGATAGTTTAAAAGGTAAGCTCACATTTTAAAAGTAAAGTGGAAGTCATCACAAAGTTATTGGTGACTTATTCAAATGAGAAGAATCTTTGGGTTGTACCAAATGTGAAGAAGAGAAAGATGCTGAGATAACAGCTACTGCTGTGTGAGAAAGAAACTGAACCTTTTTCTACAACAGCGAATTTCAAATTTTGGCATGCGTCAGCGTAATGTGGAGGGCATGTTGAAACCTACTTTGTTGGGTCAGCTTCAGAATTTCCGATTCAGTAGGTTGATGGAGTTGGGAAATTGGCATCTTTAACAAGTTTTCTAAGTGTCAGTGTTGGTGGTGATGTTGCTGCTGGTTTGACCACATTTTGAGAACCACTGCTCTAAGACAGCAGTGACTATTTCTTTTAAATTCTAGATAATGAAAGTGATTACTAAGAAGAACATAAGCATGGGAAGAGGAGAAAGTTTCTTTTTCAGTGTTGCTTTTTTAGAGATGTGAATGTCTTAACGCATATTCATTTAATTAGTAATGAAGTTCTAGGATAGTGGTTCTCAACCTTCCTACTGCTGAGATGTATTTTCATTGTTACAAAGGGGTGGGACCCACAGGTTGAGAACCACTGTTCTAGGACGTTATTAAAGGAAGAATATTGTGAGCGAAGAGTTTGGATTTTATCAAATGTCAGTTTGTGAGGACCTGTAAGTTAGCTGCAAAACTCACATATATATGGGACCTCCCTATGACAGGGCTTCTTGGAGTTTTTGTTGTTTCTGCCTTGTCCACACTGAACCACCAGCAGTTCTTCAGCGTTTAGGTTTTCCTAACCAGACACTAGTTCCCTGTGAGTTCTCTGCACTTCTAAGGTGTGATTCTTTGTATCTGCTTCTCTGTCGTTGATTTTGGGGACAGCAGTTGCCTTGTGACCTCACTTCCCTTACATATCTAAGAAGAGCTGCTGTTGATTTTTTCATTTTTTTTCCCCCAGATTTGTACTGGTTAGGACATAATGGTGACTTCTGAGCTGCTTATGTACTAGACAGAAAACTAGAAGTTTCCTAGTAATCTTTTAAAGTTCAGGTTTCAAAACAATGTGTCTTATTACTGTGATTATGGTAGCTTAGAATTTTTTGTATAAAAACAGTTCTTTTGTAAAGATGAAAAGATTTCCAAACGTGCTATTTAAAATTAATTGACTATCGGCAGAAATGCAGACCATTTCCTTGTTACTTTATTGTGGAAACCTAAGGATGTTATGTATTATAAAGGTAAACACTTAGGGGAACTTTCCTATTATTTTTGATGGAATAATTACCTTAGTAGCCTCCTCCCTTTTGAAGGAGGCATGGAAAGGGTGCAGTGGGATTGAGTAGAGAAGAAATAGGATATTAATACAGCAGCTAATACTGATAAATACTGTTTGAAGGAATTAGAAATAATGAGTGGCTAAATTTGAAATGCTTAACTTTAAAGTTGTCACTTCTCTTCAAATTGATCCATAGGTTTAATATAATCCCTATGAAAAATCCCAGCAAGATTTTTTTTCCCAGCAATGTTTTCTTTTTGTAGATAAAAGCAGCTTATTTCAAAATACATATGGAAGCTAAAGTAGTTAAAAGGATTTTGAAAAAAGGGAATAAAGTGGAAGGAATCAGTCTACTTATTATATTGCCACTTTAAACAAGACAGTGGTGTGATCTTGATATTATAAACACACAGATCACTGGAGGAGAATAGAGAATCCAGACATAAACTAACAAATACTTCCAGCTGCTTTTGAAAAAGATACAAGACTAATTAAATGGAGGAAAGTTAATCTTCGACAAATAGTTTAAGAAAAATAGGCAAAAAGAAATGATTTTTTCCAAATCTTACACAAATACAAAAATTAATTCAAAATGGATCTTGAATTAAAATGCACAATGTAAAACTACTATTATAGAAGAAAACACTGGAAAATATCTTTTGGATCCAGGGCTTGGTAAGGAGTTCTTAGATAATGACAATACAAGCATGATCAATAAAGGAAGAAGAATAAATTCAATTTCATCAAAATTAAAAATATGTGTTCTGTGAAAGACTCTGGTAAGAGGATGAAATAACATGCTACAGCGTGGGAGTATTTGTCAAAATACTGACTGACAAAGGCCTTATATTTAGAATATAGCATAATTAAAAGACCCAAATAATCTGATTTGTAAATGAGGAAAAGGCAAGAGGAGATACGGATGACAAACATATGAGAAGATGTTCAGATCAGTTTGGGAAAATGCCAGTTAAAACCACATGGATTACTACTACCTACCTATTGGATGAAGAATAGTGATGATACTAAATGCTGGTGAGGCTGTGAAGAGCATAGCTTTCTTATACATTGCTGTTAGAAATGTAAAGTGGCACAACTATTCAGGAAGAATTTGACAGTCTTTTTTTTTTTTAAAGCATTTGATCCAACAATTATATTCTTGGGAATTTATCCTAGATATTAAAACTTACATTCATAGAAAAACCTATATGTATGTGAATGGTCACAGCGGGTTTGTTTGTAATAGCAAAATACTGGAAATAGCTGGGATGTTCTTCAGTGGGTGAATGAGTGAGCAAACCTGGTACATCTGTACAGTAGAATACTTCTGATCATTAGGAAGGAATGAATTCCTGACACATAGGACAACCTGGATGGACCTCAAGGGCATTATGCTTAGTGAATAGTTCAATCTCAAAATGTTACATTTCAGTAACATTCTTGAAATAACAAGACTACACACCCACCATGCAGATTTTACAAGGGTAAGATTTACAGCCTAATAGTAGTGTGCAGTGTCAGTATTTTGGTTTGATTTTATGCTACAGTTACAGTGTTGCCAATAGAGGAAGCTGGTGGAAGGGAACATGGGGTTCATTATACTACTTTCTGTGATTTCCTGTAGGCTATCATCATTTTAAAATTAAAAAACTTGTTCTTCTGAAGTCTGGCAATCAAGCCCAAGAAATTCTATCCATCATATTTCACCTATAGTACATGTTAATTTGGTGAATTTCTCAAGATTTCCAAATTTGCTTAGACGTCTTTGCCTATAGGATTAAAGTTAAAGTACTTCTGCTTCATAGTTGTTCCCAAGTTGGACAAGTGTTTTTCTTATTTTTAATTTTGTAAATAATCATTTATTTATTATGAAGGTATTGTTTAGCCTGTACCTGTTTTTCTGGTATTTTAGCTACTTTCTTGTGTGTGAGGTACCATACAAGTAGAGGAAATATTATCTCTATTTTGAAGGATTACTTGAGAGTTAACTATAATAATAGTGAAAAGTGCAGTGCCTACTAAAACAGGTCTAAAAAACTGTAAAAATGATATACTTAAACATTGTAGAGATGTAAAACAAAAGACAGTAGTAGATTTAAAAGTGAAATCAGGAAGACATCTTGGAAAAAGTCATGTTTGGAATAGGGAGAAGATATTTCAGAAGATTGAAATAGCTTAGTTGAGGAAGGAGGGCCACAAGTAAACAAGATACACAGATGACAATCATAAAGGTTCAGATGTGATATTTTATCATTATTTTAATGTTAAAGATGTTGCTGGAATACATAGAAAAATTCAATGTAAGGAAATACTAATGTTTGAAAGTATGTCCATCTATTGCTATGCTTTTAATGAAATGGTTGGGTTTTTTTCCCCTGTGTTTATTAAAATACTATTTTGGCAATCACAAGATATCTTCTTTTCAGTTATCTGTCAAGTTAGATTTTAGACTTTGCCATTGATGCATTTTAATTTTCAACTTAAAATTTGAGTTTCAGCATTTCTGTTTTTGATTTGCTGAATAGGTAGTTTGCATTTTAAGGATGTGTCCTTTTTCTTCAATCAGTTATTTGTTCAAATACAAAATTTGGGATTAGAGGTTATTTCTAATGACTTAACAGCATTATGTGGGATGTCTGACTCAGATTGATTAAAGTATATGCCAAATGTTGGGTTATAATAAAGGAAATCCTAATTGTAGGTTTGAAAAAAACCCAAGTTATTTCTAAACATGTTTAACTAAACTCAGCAATAGACTTGGTGTTCAGCCTGTGCACTACAACTTCAAAAATGCTGATTATCAAAAGGCACAGAATCCTGTTACATAGACCAACAAAGAAAAAATAAGTTTGATCTGATTAGAATGTTGTGTGTGCTTATTATGTAGTTCAGTTTTAGATGACAAAAATGGAAAGATGAGGATCTTGTAGTGTTTTTGAACAGCACATAGATGATCTATATAGATAATCAGAATGTTGATTCTGGTACCAAAATGTTACCAGCTGATATTGCATGCCCTTTGGTGACTAAGCTCTTACCTTGATTTCTGTTTCTAATGTAGTTTCCTACCGTATCACAGTGTAGCCGGTGTACTTTTTTGTGGTTTCTTTTCTTTTCTTTTCTTTTTTTTTTTTTGAGGAAGAGTCTCACCATGTCACTCT